AATGTTTTCTTGGTGTAACAATCTGCTCTATCACCCTCTCAGCTATGTGTTATTTATATAATATGGTATTTATGTACTGACCCTTTTTCGTCCAAGGAATGTTTTTGACATGCTAATATAACAGAAACATGAGACTTCTGACTTCTAATAATAATTTTGAAGTTTTCATTACTCAGTTAAATGATTTATGTCCCCTTATACAACGACTCATTTATATAAATGTCTGGATGGTGTTTACAGAATAAAGCATAATGGGAAAAAAGTGTTAAAAAAAAAATAAAGAAAGAATAGAGAAAAATAGGTCAAAAAATAAAGAATAGAGAAAAATAGGTAAAAAAATATAGAATAGAGAATAATGGGGTGTTAAAATATAAAGAATAGAGAACAATGGGTGAAAAAGACAAAGAGTGGGTGAAAAATGGTCTAAAATATAAAAAAAAAAAAAGAACCCCCATCCAGACCCTCTTATATGCTGTGGTATTTCACATAAATCATGTCTCCTTCTGTGTAATGTCACATATTTCACTTAGAAATGACATGATGAAATGGCATAAGCAATTCTGTCATTTGAATAATTTGTAAGTGACATCAATTTTTGATTTTGATTCATTTATATTTATTGTCCTATATTTCATTAAACTTGAGGTCTTTGGAATGGACATGAAAAATCAATCATAATTTAGTAAATGTAGGATGTAGTTCTAGTTTTTCATCTCATGATCATCCAAAATTGTCAAACTGAGTAACACACAGATATGAATGTATGCTAAAAAAATTCAGCAATTGTTCCATTTGTAAAGGGGCATAACTCTAGAACAGAGAAAGTGACACCACCAAAATTCAAACTTGATCTGTGTTTCGTTGTATTAAGTATGGTGTATAAGTTTCATAAAATTTGGTTGAGGCAAACTAAAGTTAGAGAATGGAAACGAAAAATTCAGCAATTTTTTCATTTGTAAAGGGGCATAACTCTAGAAAGGTAAAAGTGACGCCACCAAAATTCAAACTTCATCTGTGTTTTGTGGTAATAAGCATTGTGTATAAGTTTCATAACATATGGTTGAGGCAAACTTAAGTTAAAGAACGGAAACCAATTTTGGGACGTACGGATAGACGTACGTACGGACGGACGGACGGACGGACGTACAGACGGACAAGGGTAAAAATTAATTCCCTCTCCGCTACGGCAGATAATAAAAATTAAAATTCAATTACATTTGTCTTTTTTGTTTTGAAAGTACTTAAGGATGTTAGCTGCTCTGTTTTTAAATAACAAGCTTTTTAAACTACTGACAGTAGTATATATATAATGGAACTAAAAAGCAGATGAAATGAATTTAGGACCGTATCTTTGTTTTTGAGACAAAAGCCATTGATAATTTGGCGGGAAATGATTCTCTCTAGATTTTTCATACATTTAACATTGGCACCTTTTTTCTTTCAAAATCTTTGAAAAAATAACAGGAATTTATAGTATTTTCAAAAATGTCTTTTAAAATTTATGTAACAAAATTATGAAAAGAAAAGTAGGTGTTAGAGGGAAAAATTTTGAATGGCACTATTATATGGATAAAACAAAATATCAGAACATCTGACAAAAAATCAAAAACAAGATGAGCAAACTACCATACTGAGTAATATGATCAAATATAGCAAAATAAATGAAATCCGGTAAAATTAATGTAGTAATACCTATAATATGACAGGGATTGCTTTCGAAAAAAAATGTTTATCAACAATGTCACCTTTAACCAACATGCATCTATCCAGGTAAATTTCATGAAGTAACAACTAATGCATGGTCAAAGATGATAATCAAATAATCTTCATAATTATAAAGGCATTCTATTACATAAGGTGGTTCCAAGATCTTTTTTCTGAAAGTTTTACCTTTTGGGATTGAGACCAATGAAAAAAAAAGAGATGTAATTATGCACTACTTTTTCCTATCAAGCATACATTAGATATAACATACATTGCAGCATGGATCCAGTCATTTTGAAAAAGGGGGTTCCAAACTCCGGAACACCCCCTGGATCGGCCAATGCATCGTTTTTGTATATTCTAAATTGATTTTTAAAGTCCCATAACATATGTCACAGATAAATACATTAGCATTCAAAATCTGTAATATGTACAGAACACAAGTATTTATGAACCCTTCAAGTAAAAAATATGGTACAATTCTGCAGGTCCTCTAATATATTATGTGTCCATACACAGTTCTCCCTGTATTTCTTGTGGCCGATTGTTCCCTTTGTGTGTCCCAACCCATCCCCTTTTTTCAATACATTTCCATTTCATGTTCATTGCCTTGGTACATGTATATAACCTTTTTGTTCTTTTTGAATATTAAACACCAACAATTAATCAATCAACGTCTTTAACCTAATTAAGTGCTCATGAAATAAAATGCTTCGCTGAGCGCAGCCTGATACGACCGCAGAGTTTGAACCCTGAACAGTTGGGGCAAATTTGGACACAATATTCAAACTTGATACTGTCTGAATTTGGATGTGATCAAATTTTTGACATAATATATGTTTCTGACACAAAATAAATTTGGTCAAAGATCTTATAAATCCATTGCACAATACTGTGCAACTGAAGATTTCTTCTTGAAGCTTTTCAAAAATTCGAAACTTTAAAAATTTTGAAATAAAAATATGAATCCCGTAAAAAAATTGGGAAAAAAATCCCCGAACTTTTTGAAAGATTGAAAACCACCCTTGAAGCAATAACCCCAAAACTCAATCCCAGCCTTTTCTTTGTAGTATGGAACCTTGTAGTACAATCTCAGAGAGATCCATACACTTTCACACAAGTTATTGTCTGGAAACTAGAAAAATGCTTGTTTTTGGCCCTTTTTTGGCCCCTAATTCCTACATGTTTGAGGCAATTAACCCCAAACTCAATCCCAGCCTTCCCTTTGTTATATGTAACCTTGTGGTACAATGTCAGAGAGATCCATACACTTACACACAAGTTATTGTCTGGAAACTAGAAAAATGCTTGTTTTTGGCCACTTTTTGGCCCTTAATTCCTAAATTGTTGGCCCCGATAACCCCTAAAATGAATCCCAACCTTCTACTTGTGGTATTAAACATTATGGTACAATTTCAGAGCAATCGAAATACTTATACACAAGTTATTATCCTGATACTAGAAAAATGCTTGTTTTGGGCCCCAATCCCAACCTTCCTTTTGTGGTATTGAATCTTCTTAAAAAAATTCATAGAGATCCATTCACTTAAACTAAAGTTATCCTTTTGTGGTATTGAACCTTCCTAAAAAATTTCATAGAGATCCATTCACTTAAACTAAAGTTATTGTCCCGAAACCAATGTGTCTTCGGACGACAACGCAGACGCAGACAACGATGACATCATACCATTATACAATTTCAAAAAGATTTTTGCGGTCGTATAAAAAATTAAAATTGTACTTGATTGCCTTTCATTCATCAATTACAAAGAAGGCATATATATCAAAGACAGCTCATTATTTTTTTGACAGAAGAAATTATGCCATTTTCTTTGAAATTGACATATGTTACATAAAAATCATTTCCCAGAAGCATAAATATCCATTGTTTTGATGTAACACATATGAGCTTAGAAAACTCTTTCTTATATCATATGAAATTCCATTAGGAATTTTTAAAGATTATTATTTTAGCAGCCATCCAAAAAAAATTTAATTATATAAAAGAATGCTATAATTCAATTTTTCCTCTGGAACGTTTCAGAATCGTTCAGTAAATAATGATCTAAAATAGATATTCTACAATTTTTCAAAGAGCAATTTCTTTTTAGTAATATTAAACCAACAAATATTTAATAGAAATTAAAATATATTAAATTAAATCTTTGTACTTTTAGATTTTAGAACGATATATTATTTCAAACGAAGGAAAAGAGTTTGAAATGCAACGTTTAGAACCTGAGCAAGCAATGAATTGACCCTCTTGAAAAGACTCAAGGCAAAATGTGAAATAAAAAAAACCTTTTATGTTTTAAAAGGTATTATTTCAAAGAAAACATTGTGAGTCTCATTTCTATTTCATTTTAATAAGGAATTGATTAATTTTTCCAAAAAAAGCTTGAGAAACAAACACTATAAAATTTAATTTCCTAACTGTGATACTGGAAACTGATTTATTTTTGTAGTATCCATATCATTTACCATATATTACTTCAGATTCAGAATGATGTCATTCATAAATATATACTAATGCATTCACTTCATTTGAACTTGGTGGATAGTTGTCTCAATGGCAATCATACCACATCTCCTTATTTTTATATTAATAAATGCAAAATGTCAGGGAAAAAAAATTATTTGTTAAACCAGGAAGAACAGTTTCCAGCAAGCAGGTTGTTTGGAAAAATTACCCCTCAAATTTGAAGAGAGAAATAGATTTTAAAAACAAGCAAAAGACTGACTCATGGCTGTGTAGTGTGCATAACAAAATTGAAAAAAAATCTAAGAGTTGAATGATCATGCAAATCTGTTGAACATTATGAGGCAACAGTAGTTTACAATGTTCAAAACTGATAGAGAGGTCAACAGAACCCAATATAGCAGAGTTCTTGAAATCTTTTCCAGGTGGTCTGTGAAGAAAATCTGCTGGTTCTCGCTATTATTTCTATTGCAAAATACCAAAATAGTATCTGTCCTTAGCAAATTTTGTTGTCAAAAGTTTTTTGGACCGCTGCTTTTTGAGAACTCTGATATAGTATGTATATTTCATAAAAAATAAACATAGGATGCACTGCTGTACTATACATTGTTATATAGTTCAGGTCTTAAAGAGGAGAAAATTGGATTAAAGATTATGTTACACCCAGATACTCACAGGAAGCACTACACACTGGGGATTCATTTATATCTGTAGATACCAGTTTTTTGTGGATTGAAGAAAAATTTTATTCTTGTAGGTACTTGATTTTGATTTCATGGGTTTGACAGACTCTTCATACAAGCCTATATGTATATACCTGTTGACATAAGCCCAACAAGGCTCCCTTGGGTTTATGATTGACATCTGCCAAGCACATTATGGTATCCATGACAACTGTTAACCAATGAGAATGACTCAAATATTCAGTGCTCCCTTCTGCAACTTCTAGACTTTCTTTATCCAAGTTGGATCCATATCTGTTTATAGTGACTGCCAAACCAGCCAAGGCATAAATAGAATTTGACTGGATACCTGGGTTTCCCCTACAATTAAAATTACAGAAAATACATGGACTATTTTGAATACAATGTTTTAGCATGCATCTATATTCAACATCCAACAAATATGTGAATGCACTTCCTACACATATTGAAGAATAATATAACTAGTAAAACTTATCAAGCATGATTTAATATTGTGAAGTTAAGCCTCATTCATTATTTGCGAAGTTAACATAAATATTGCATTAATTTCTTAAGAAAAGGGTCTAAAAATATAATATTTGAAAGTTCTTTAATATTAGTTAAAAGCGTTTCCTTTTCATGGTTTATCTGCTATGAAATAACAGTAATTTGGTAAAATTACAAAAATATACAAAAAGGCAAATGAGTTCTAAATTGCCAATAAAGATATTCTCACAATAAGTGAAATTTGTAGTGTATCCACTCGATGGCAAAAAAAAAAGTTGGGCCACCCTTCTGCTCTTTGCTGGTTTAGCAAAACTATTTCTGAAAAATTATAACCAATTTTAATGCAGCTAATGCATTTTTTAACTAGTAAAGTCTCTTCGGTGCTGTTGGAGGTCAACATATTAGAAAGTTCAAAACCAGCTAATACAAACATTGAAGAGGTGATAAAAACCAAAATGACCAAGAGTAAAGTCCAACCAGGACAAGTAAATGGACAAACTTCCATTATAATGTCACCTGAATGTCACCATAGTCTGACTGCTGCTTATGAGAGTGGGGAAATATTGTATCACATTTGAGATTGACAGGAAGAATTAGTTTCATAAATGACTCAAGTTAATATGTAAGCTATTTTTTACATTCCCTAGACCTTCTGGCGACTTGCAAAAATATGTTACTATTCTTGTGAGGTGTAATCAGGGATGATTGCTTATAATGCTAACACAATAGTTAAGAACCAGACAACAGGAAGAAAATTTCCACAAATGCAAGCTAATCATATTTTAATCATATTAAAAAAATAAATAAACAATCCCATTAAGAAAGTACATATTGGCAAGGAAGCACAGAAATTCAATTTTAAAATATCTTTAATCGAAAGTTTTCTTATGCTTTCAATTAAAATTGACAAGTTGATTATATCAGCTGTTTAATTAAATCTCGCTGTTCTCTAAACAGACTGACACACCTTATGTTATTGTCTGTGAGTGTCAGTTTTAATTGTATTTGTAAAGCAAACATTCTGTTCTGCAAGCACTCTTAAAACAAAATAATATGATGTTTGAAAAGACATTTTTTAATGTCAATTCAGGTGCAGATAACTCAAATAGAGCCAATTAACAAAGCAGGATGAACTCATGATGTACAAAACAAATTGATACAAAATTATAAGTCTTAAATCCTAAACGGTATAAATTCAGGTCACTTCAGAAAGATATCTTCACTTTAAAGATTAACCATGAAAGAACTTAAGTAAGCAAGAAAACAGCCTCTATCCCAATATAATAAAGAAAAAAAAGAAAAGTGTTTTTCCTCCATTAATGGCAGCCATTTTTAATTCAAACCTCATTGCAGATGAGAGTAAACCTTCTTAAATTTAATGGTTCCAACAATAAACAAAGTCTTTTTATAATATAAAAGATAAATAAATGGGGAATGTGTCCATGGGACACAGATGATTCCCCCGCTTGTAAATAACGTGATCTGTGTTTTGTGGTAATTGGCATTGTGCATAAGTTTCATAACATTGGGTTGAGGCAAACTAAAGTTAGAGAACAGAAACGAATATTTCAGCAATTTTTCCATTTGTAAAGGGGTATAACTCTAGAACGGTAACCAATTTTGGGACGTACAGACGTACACACGGACAAGGGTAGAACTTAATGCCCCCTCCGCTACGTGGGGGCATAAAAATAAAACTTAAATAAATTAAGCATAAAAGCTATGATTCACAATTCAATACTTGTCTGATAATCACTACTCTTAAAGTTAACAGTTTTCAGCTGACACAAACATTTCCCTCACTCCAAATTTGTTTCTAATTTCTTATTAACTTATGAAGCTGCAGAACAGTGTGAATGAGTGCTTAATTACTTCCTAAAATTTTAACTTTGTAAAAAAATATATCATCCAGAACAACTGCCTATTGCACCCAAAAAGTATTCTGAATGCTTCATTGAAATCATTAAGCAGGGGTATAATGAACAGATGGTTATCAAATAGGATGTTCATTCATATTTAACAAGATTCATTGCTGTTTTAAAAGGTAAAAATTTTCACTGAATCACAAATCTAAATATCACATATTTTGAGAAACAAATTAAATTTAGTGTGATTTAGACTAATTATACTATATACAGGAATTTTTCATTACATGTAATAAATTAATAGAGAGGCGAAAGATACCAATGGGACATTTAAACTCATAAGTTGAAAATAAACTGACAATGCCATTGAAAAAAAAGGGAAAGACCATAAGACAAACAACAGTTTACAAAACACAACATAAAAAGACTGAGCAATACAATTTATACAAACCCCACCAAAAACTGGGGGTGATCTCAGGTGCTCCGGAAGGGTAAGCAGATCCTGCTCCACATGTGGCACCCATCGTCTTGCTCATGTTAGTACAAACCCCGTAATAAGTCTAATTCGGTAGGTCACATTCGGGTTTGGGGATGGGATTGTAGTTACAACAATTGGATTTCTGCTATCATCTGTGAAACAGATATTCCATAACCGTCAACCAACTCGTAATGGCGTCTGTAAAATTTACAAAGGGATGACTTCCTGCTACTCAAGTGGCACCCGTTGTGTTGCTCATGTAAGCAAAAACCCGGTGATAAGTCAAATTAATCAACAATTACCTACACACACTGCCACAGAAGTTCATTCTAGTGAGAGTCAGTCATTAGTTGTTGTATATGAAAGTCAGAATTTTACTACATGTCCCTTACCTAGAAGCTGTCTTGATCATACCAGTTATTTCTCCTCTAACCCTAAAATGAAGAATAGATATACTTACATGATATATAGCCACTAAAATTTGAAATTTTAATACAGTATAAAAACTAAAAATTTCTTGCGCATTCAAGTTGGAGCAAATGTATTTTTAAAAGAGAGGGGAAAGATACCAAAGGGATATTCAAACTGATAAGTTCAAAACAAACTAACAAAGCCATGGCAAAAAAACAAAAACAACGAAAGGACAAACAACAGTTCACAAAACACAACATAGAAAACGAAAGACTGAGCAACACAAACCCCACCAAAAACTGGGGGTGATTTCAGGTGCTCCAGAAGGGTAAGCAGATCCTGCTCCACATGTGGCACCTGTTGTTTTGCTCATGTACCTACAAACTGTGTGAGAAGTCTAATTCGGTAGGTCACATTCAATGAAATATACAATAAAAAATTGACAAAAAGTGACAGGTATGCATTTTATTCATTGATCCACCAATTTTCCTAACATATTGCATTGATATAAAATTCAGGAAAATTATTTATACATTAGAGGGTAAAGGACACTGAACTTTCCAAGTACATAAAGTTAAATTATACATTTGAAGTCTTTTTTTTTCCATTTAATATCCATGTCAATGATGTTCAACTTCTTTCCAGGACTCCCATATTGCATGTTAATGGAATAATTAAGTTGTCTGACTACTTTTCTACTTCAGATTTCCTTATTGAGGTTTTTTTCTATTTGTCATCCATCGCCAGGGTTCATACTCGTTTTTTTATGATAAGATTTAACAACTTTCAAAGGACTCTCAGGACAAAAATGATCTTTTTTCAAGGACAGTCATTCAACCTTTATCTAGACAATGTTTTTCTGGTTTTGATTGGTCTCAAATTAAACATGTTGTGCGCAAACCATTCCAAATTGAACTAAATCTACATTAAATTGGTCCCATTCTGTTAATTTTTTCAAATTTTCCTGGTGCAGGAATATTTAATGGAAGGTTACTCAGTCACTAATCATTGCTAATGGAACATCATCATCTTCAAAATATTTTGTTATAGAGAAAAATACAATTGTTAGACGTCACTACATCTTTTGTCCTGGCAATAATTATTTATTTAAGCTCTCCTGAAGATAGAAATTAAAATAGTATTTTTTCTATAATATTTGGTGAAAAAAGTTCAGCCAGTAGTATTAATCCAATTCCAAGGACATTTTGGACAATTAAGTTGTTTAAAGGCCTTCAGTTTTCTATTTTTGATAATTGTCTAATATTTTTTAGTACATTCAAGGATTTAAAAGAAAATCAAGAAACAAAACTTTTCCAAAAAATCAGTTTATTTGTAGGTATTATGATCTTAACCTTTGACCAACTGACACAAAAATTGACAAATGTCTTGTTCTTTCCAAGGGGAATTTTATAGCTAAGCTTGGTCAAGATTGTACATATGGTTTTAAACTATTTCAAATTGTACCCCAATTTTAGCCTATCAATTGCTACTATAATTAACCTTAGACCCAATGACCTCAAAATTGTAAGAGATATTTATCACCCAAGGCACAATATCCACCAAATATTGGTAAAGATCTTCTCAAAAGAAGACATCTGATTTAAATACAGACCCAGTGTTTCCATCTGACAATGTTCTAAAAGACCTTTTTGGATCCTCTGCAGGTTTTTGTCGAGCCTGCGACTTTTGTCGCAAAAGCGAGACATAGCAATCCTACATTCCGTCGTCGGTTTCGTCGTCGGCGTCCACAAATAATCACTCTGTGGTTAAAGTTTTTGAAATTTTAATAACTTTCTTAAATTTTCCTGGATTTCTACCAAACTTGGACAGAAGCTTGTTTATGATCATAAGATAGTATCCAGAAGTAATTTTGTAAAAAACAAAATCCTGTTTTTCCGTATTTTACTTTTAAATGGACTTAGTTTTTCTGGCAGTTAACATTACATTCACTCTGTGGTTAAAGTTTTTAAAATTTTAATAACTTTCTTAAACTATCCTGGATTTCTACCAAACTTGGACAGAAGCTTGTTTATGATCAAAAGCTAGTATCTAGAAGAAAAATTTATTTCCTGTTTTTCCGTATATTACTTATAAATGGACTTAGTTTTTCTTCCAGTTAACATTACATACAGTCTGCAGTTAAAGTTTTTAAAATATTTATTAGATTCATAAACCATCGTGGATTTTTACCAAATTTGGATAGAAGCTTCTTACAATCAAAAGATAGTATCTAGAAAAATTTTTAATAACTTTTTCCCCATTTTTGGTGAGCCTGTGACTAACAGCAAAAGTAGGCGAGGCACTGGGTTACGCGGAACCCTTATGAATTTTTGGTGTAATGATGCACACCTTCAAGAATTCAAAAGCTGAAATTCCATTGGGTGAAGGTAAGACATATGGTTAAAAAAATATCATCAACTAAATTTGTGCACCAATTTCAGTCTATTAATTACTGTGACTTTGACCTAGTGAAATAACTGTTCTGGAATACTTTAAGCTTTCTTAAAATAAAAAAAATCTAGCACTATTGATATGTATTCAGTATATTGTATATTGATATCATTGTAGTAGGTGTGAAAATCCCTTTAAATGGCTCTTAACCCTCTACCCCTTTTGAAAAATTAATTATTGTAAATCCCTGAAAGTTACTGTAACATAGGTTTGTATTTTATAGAAATATACATATTAAGAAATTTCAAATTATAGTTTTAATAATACAATCTTAACCTAGCAAAGTTTTTTGCATTAGATAATAATTGCATTAGATCTAATATCTACCAAAGCCAGGCAGCTAGTTGTTTTTCTTCAGCCTCATGTTCAGTTGTATGTTCTCTCTTCAACTGAAGTTCAATCTCTGCTGTTCTACCCTAAAATAGAGATGGTAGTTAAGAAAAAATTCCCAAACAACTGATAAAACACATATCAACTGTCAAATAAAAGATGACATACAAGATCTTCGTGTAAAATGTATGCACTTAAAATCATTGTTGACCACCTTCAAGCAAATGTCAAGGTAAGGAATAGTGAAAAAGATCTTTGATTTGACATATAAGATCATCGTGTAAAATATAAGCACTTCAGATCATTGCTGATGACCTTCAAGCAACTGTCAAGGTGAAAAATAGTGAAAAAGTTCTTTGATTTTACATTTTCCCCAGTATTCCCACTTGATGACTTTTTACAATCACACGGGCAAAACCCCTAAAAGTATGACCAGCTCAGTAGCCAACACTTCTGTAATGACTATCAATATCAATGAAGCTGTCATTTTACTATTCAAATTTACTATTGATAAACTAAAAATCATTCGAAACATGCTGTTTTTCAACTGCAAGGTATAGATGGCCTTAGCAAGATTTGGCACATCTTTCCTTGGAATTTTTGGTTTTCATGTTCTTCAACTTTGTAATTGATTTGTCCTGTAAAATGTTTTGATTCTAGGCAACTGATTCATGAGAAGGATGTCTTGTCACCCTCCATTGTTGGTAAGACCCATGCTGAGGGACACACGTTTGGCAATAAGGGAAGTAACAATATGCAGCAAAACCCTACAATACCTATGTTGAATCCTTGAGGTTTAGCTAGCTATAAAACCAGGTTTAATCCACTATTTTTTACATAAGTAAATGCCTGTACCAAGTCAGAAATATGACTGTTGTTTTCCATTCCTTTGGAGTATTTTGAGCTTTTGATTTTGACATTTGATAAAGGACTTTCCATTTTGAATTTTCCTTGGAGTTCGGTATTTTTGTTATTTTACTTTTTGCCAATATTCCAACACCCTTTGCAAGATAAGGACCTTTGTAACAACCATTTTAAGGGCTTTGTAGGTGACATGTATCAGTAACTAGACAGTAACAAATGTGCCTACCTAAACGCCCTCTTCTTCATGTGGTATTCAAAATCTCCCGCCTTTAATAATTTACCCACTTTACATATCCTACCTATTGATTACTTGAAAAATTTGCCACTGGACAATGGGAAATAAAATTTAACTACTTGTTTTTGCTAGAAAAAACTACAAACTTCATACCTCTAACATGGCTGTAAACAACCTGTCCATAAATGATGTCCATCCTTGTGGAATGACAAGCGTTCTGTGCCATTCTGACGGCTGGATTGGAACCTGAAATTAGATTAACTCCATTACATTTCTATATGAAATATTTTCCCCACAGCAATATTCTGTGATTTTGTTAAAACAGTTCAGAATGTAATGAATAGACTATAAAATAAAAAAATTTCCATATCCTGAATAATGCTTTTGTCTGTCAAAAATACAGGCTGTTAGGCTAGCTTTAATATCTGCACTGTATAGTTTTTTATTTAAGGCAGATAATATCAATCACTGTGCTACAATTTTATAATATTGAGTAACTTTTACTGCTTTTCAAGATCTATCAAGTAAGAAAATTAGTATTTTTACATCTTTTATGACTGACTTTAATAAAATGTGAAGAAAAATAAATTGGCCGGAATAGACAAAACTTACAATGACTTTAATCAATGAAGAAAATGACTGACAAAAAAAATTATCTATGGTTTTGAAAAACTAGAGAAAATTTCTCAGTTACAATCTCCTTGAAGGGCAAAAACCGCAAGATGAGATGTAGACGAAAAACTTGCTCTAGTTGAAAGACAATAGATAAACTGTTTATCGCTATTTTCCTAGCTAATGTCAATGGCTTTTGACGTCCTCGTGTTCTCATTCTACTTGACTGAGAAAAAACATTCTCAGTAGAGTAACTTGAGATGGAAAACTTTCACACATAAGAATCGAAGCCAAATTTAAGAAAATAGCAATAAATTGTTTTCTATTGTAAAATTCTGAAACTTTTTAAAAGACATTTCATTGACACAGACTCTCTTTTATGCAGGGTTCTTTAGATAGTTCATGTCCTGTATTTAGTGGGGCTGGTGTTATTGGTATTCAGTCTTCAGGTTTCTGTGTATTTATGTAATGTTTGCAGACTATCGTTTGTAAGTTTGGTTATTTTTTCTTTTTCCAATGGTTTTTGTCTGTTTTTTAAATTATGAGTCTTACTCCCTTGGTATTTCATTTTTCTGAGACAGGTTTCACAGTATCTGAAACAGTTGTTTGAAGTTTTTGAAAAAATCTTAGTAACCTATTTGTTGAAAAAAGAAAAACAAAAAACCAAACAAGTCGGATTTCCTGCCTTATCTAGCAAAATTATAGTTTCAGAACTCAGACTACCCGGTAATCATATCGTATAATAAAAATATTCTAATCTTTTCTAATGGTCGAAACATCTCTCATTATATCTTGTCATTTCCAAAACAACTGAAATAGTATTGAATATTTGAATAGTCTTTCTTTAAAGTACAATTCTTGATTATGTCTGTTTTTGCAACTTGAGTTTTAACTTCCTTGATACAAGAGCTATTATCTCTTATTCTTTTAATTTGTCCACTTACTTTTTCAATTTCATTTTGATAAAAAAAAAATAGGCAAATTGAGTTTCAGTTGTTTTTTACAGATAAATTCGGTTTTAAGACATCAAATGTCTTCCTTATTTGCTCTAACAGGCTATTGGCTACTTATTATAGCATTTTGGATTGAAAAAACAAACACAAATTTGAACAAATTTTTTACAAATATTACATAATACCTTAGAAGATGCAAGCATGATCCTCATATCAATTTCCCCTTTGTAATGATTTTGTAGCAAAATATACAAGCTACAAGAACAAGCTACAATTTTTTTCTATTTCAATTCTCAAAAACTTAATTTTTTTTAAACGAAAGCATAATAAATCATTTTTAGACAAAAAAAGAAAAAATACAAAATTGTCAAAAGTTATAAATCGTAAAGCTTGACAGACCGTTGATCATGTTGATCAAATGATAAAAATATGATATATAGATATTTAATAATATGATCTACAAATATAAAACTGCTTTTGATATTGTATATCTAAATGAAATACAAGATAGTTCTTTATTGCCAATTTACTTTTAATCAGTAAATAGCATATTACAAAAAAATATCTGTCTGTCATGTTTCAGATCATCAAAGAACCAAAAAATACTCATGGTCATTTGTAATAGTAAACAATTGACTGTGGGAGGATTTTTTTCTTGTGGCATAACGGAAGCAATTATCTATTCGCTGAAAAAAGATTTTTTTAGATTCAGTATTAAAACTCTATGGTTATATTTTTTGCAATTCTGTAGATTGAAAGAAATTGTACAATTTTTTTGTTTGTGAGAAGATGTTTTTTTACATTTCATAACCAAAGGGAAGAACAATTTTCAGATTAAAGAGTACTTTAAGGTCTGTATGTCTGGTTTTTGGTTATTGAAAGTTTTAAAATAAAAACCACTCAGGGGTATATAAAAATAAGCAAGATTGTTGGAGAATTTTGTTCTTGATACCTACAAAAATAAATCAAGTTGCAGTATTAAAACCTTTCTTTTTATGACAGAAGGTTCATGGAAATTGTACAGTTGTCAGAGGATTTTGTTTTCCATTACCAAAGTGAGGAACAGTTCACTGATTAAAATGTACCATAAGGTGTCAGTTGATTTAATTTTGCTGATGTGTAGCTATGTGTATTATACCCATCAGCACAAGAGACCAATCAACTCTTTACAAGCTAATTTTTATGTATTTTTTTGTTTAAAATATAAAATCTTCTGCATTTACGGGAGATTAACCTTTAATGCCTTAATCTAGAATGGAAATTCAAAATCATGCAAGAATCCCCAAAAAACCAATTACAAGAGAAAACTTGGACTGTAGCAAATTGTTTATTGGTTCTTGCAGGCACTCTATACATTTGTATTTGCAATTCTGAATATCATTTTAAAATTTTCAAAATCTATATTTTTTTTACAAAAAAGTTTAACAGGTACTATGCTATAATGTAATAACTACAGCTGTTGTAAGATCCTTATACTAGCATTTTTAAGTTTTAAATACTGTAAATTCAGAAATTATTGCAAGGTTTTTATTATTGCAAATAATGCGACTTGGTGAATTAATATCGTAATAATAAGAACTCACATTCTGAAAATCTGACACAAACATTTGTACACAGCTTTCCTGTAATCGCAATAATCATTCTTGCATTTTGGTCTGTCATTGCAAAATCGCAATAATAAATGCACACAATAATTTCTGAATTTACAAAATCAACAATTTTGGTCCTTTTTGCACCTTATCCTTTGGTTGGTTAAATCAAGGATCAAATCCTTGGTTAAATGTGATGATTCGTGATAATGTTAATTATGAAAATTGGTTCTCAAAGGTGAAAAAACCTTCTAAGTGTTCACCAAAACAACCTCTCCTTATGCATATTAGTTTTAAAATTTCTCAAAAGTCTGCATACTGAAAAAGATCATTATTGTTTTTTTTGGGGTCAAATTTACATCCACCTAAAGAAAACAGTCATGTGACTGAGGGATGTTTTTCCAACATTGATTTCCACAGGTAACAAACAACCCTATTGTTACCCTCCAATCTTATAGTCAAGATGTAAATAACCTTTTGTTACCCACTGAATCTTTAATGTAAGGAAGACAATGTTATTATAGGATTAAGCACATTTTTTTTCTGTTTTATTGTTGTGTAAACTGGACCAAATGAAAATAAGATGTGGTATGATTGCTGCTGAGACACCTCTCCAAAAGAGACCAAATGACATAGACGGTTAGCAACTATAGGTCACTGTACTGCCTTTACAATGAGCAAAACCCATACCTCAAAGCAATTTCACTTACAAATGAATAAAAGTTTGAATGACTTTTACATAGAGTTTGAGAGGGAATTACTTTTTAAAATAACAATAGAATCAACCATTTGAATGAAAATTATTGGTTAATACGTAAATTAATGCTTCAACCATCTAAAGTGAAGAAATAATTCAAGACACAGAAAACCATATGAGAAATTTATATGTTACCTCATGCATAAGTGTTGTAAACATTTGCTGAAAGGATTTACTATGGGACATGATGTAATGTCTTCTCGGCCTACCATCTCTCCCAACTTCTACTGGTGGATCATAACTAAACAGTAATCCAGCAGCTAATCCAGGTCGTAATCCAGGCTGTTTTGTCTTCTGGTACTGAGACAAGAGGAATGATGGGATAGATCCAACAGCTTTACCCTGATTGGATGCTGCTCCCTGTCGCCGTAGTGATGAGTGGTAAATCCCCCTTGGTAACTTTTCTACTTCCTTAGCAACCATTGATGTAAGAAATGCTTCATAGCCTATTTGAGAGATGAAAATATTCATTTGTTTGATAACTTTATGATATATATTACACTATGACATTTAAAAAAAAAATATTATACAGATAAGTCATTCATGTATTTATATTTTCTGTATAGCATTTCCTTTAAGCCAAATATAAATTATATGTGCTTGCTTTTTTTCTAGGTATTGCATTGACACCTCAAGAGTTCAGTTGATTTCTGAAAACCATTTTATTGTTATATTTTAAACCTTTTACTTATAAAAAAGTGGTCAATTGACGAAATCGTCGAAAGTCAAAGCAGGGAATTTTGGTATTAATTACTAGTAATATTTTTCCATTGAATAAGGCTACTGCTTGTGGACTGTCAGTACCATAAAGAACCATCTGTTAAGTAGCTAATCATCAGATACTGGCATGATTCCAACTACAACAACTTTATTTTCAGGTAAGGAATTAAATATACAAGTAATTGTACTATAACTACGGTTTTACTCCCTCAAACAAAGGTCAATCTTAAGCAATTTTTGCTATTTAGTATTTGTGCCAGTTTCTGGTATTGATGCTACTATATTTCACAAGGCATTTTGTTTCAGAAACTTTTGGACGATATCTTATCTCATGAAAATTATTCTAGAAATATGTGTACTGATCTGTGCACTGAAATAGCTATCATACTTCTACACATTTATTTGCCTTCAAGTACGAAATAAAAAGTTAATTCGCGGATATATGTCTCGCCTATTTGACCTAATCACAAATTTAACAATTGTTAACACAGCAGACACTGACAAGAGAAACATCATCCCTACAAGTCTTGCTGCCATGACTTTTGTAACTTGCTAGACAAAAACCAATTGTTTGCTTGTCTACATTAATTCCAATCTATGAACCTTAATCATAAAACTAAGGAGATGTGGTTTGAATGCCGATGAGACAACTATTCACCAAAGTCCAATGGACAAGGAAGTAAAACTAAGGAGATGTGGTTTGAATGCCGATGAGACAACTATTCACCAAAGTCCAATGGACAAGGAAGTAAAACTAAGGAGATGTGGTTTGAATGCTGATGAGACGACTATTCACCAAAGTTCAATGGACAAGGACGTAAAACTTCCGGGTACTACATACAAAAATATTTTTATGCGGAAATTCCTAAAATTGAACAGCTGCATAAATCTCACCAAGAAGAGAAATACTGCTTAAGGATGTTTACATAATCCAATTAATTATTTGGGTGGATGACTGCAATACTATATGTCACATGATGCATGTGTTTCAGGAATTTCAAAAATTGGACATCTGATTAAATCTCACCAAAGAAATTAAAGTGCTTATGGATGTCAGCAATTACAATTCTTTTATAACAACATATTCCTATAAAATGAAGTCTTTTTCATTGGATACAGTTTAATGTTTAATGATTACATTACATCTATGTTTCATAAGAATATGTCCTTTTGATTGGCTGAAAAAGCCAAAGTTAGATTTTATTTCCCAATAAAATTCAACATGCTGCCTGTGACTACTTCACAACAATGCATATGAAAACAATCGAAAAATTTGTTCTGATAATTTATTTCATAGCTGTAGCATACTTTATTTTATGGCTGTAGCATAAAAATGTAATAAAGTAATTATAAGAATTCAATGCTTCTTTTTGTAATTGTATAGGGGTGTAAAAGCATCATGCAGACATTTTTAGTATGAAGTGCCATAAAAAATGTGCTTTGGTCAACGCTTTTACACCCCAATAAAATTACAATAAGAAACATTCAATTCTTAAAAACATCAAAATAATGGAAAAATAAACTTAAAGTCTGTGAGCTTGTTTTTGAGATTAAGCATGTGAAAAATTAGAAAATTTGGGCAGCAAAAGATGTCTCCGGATTTTTCACATGAAATGTTTTGAAAAAAGTTTCATTTAACTGTATGAATTTTTTGCTATATTCTATAAATAACAAGAATTTAAATATTTTTTACTAGAAGTGATTTTGAAATGATACTGGGCAAAATTTATTAATGCACAGTCTATGAAGAAGCCAGAAAGATTTTAAGACATTGAGGATAATTTTTACCCTGATGAGCGGCAAACATCATAAATTCATGCTTACGTAGCAATATCGTACAGTTGTATAAATTAAGGTTACCAGTCCTTTTCCAGACTATAAATATGAAGGTTACTTATTTTTAATTTTAATAAAGCATTACAACTGATAATATTATAAATTGTTTTGTCTGTAAGGAGGAAATAATTATAACAAAGAATTCTGTAACATGCTTTTAATCAATCTTTTTCCAATGCAAATCATGTCTTTATCCATATTCTAATCCATTCAATTTACATTTAGATAGCTTCAAACTTCATAAATAAGACCACTTCAGACATGGTTTGATATATGTAGATTGAGCACAGGGTTTCCTTAGGTCAAATCTATTGACCAAATTAATTGAGAGTACAGTCAGACTAGTAATTAAAAATACATATTAAAGTCCTTTGAAGGCATAATCTAAGAAATATATCACTTGTATTATGAATAAATTTACAAAGGTACATAAGATTGGTCCACCATGTGCACATCCATCTAAAAATTTCAAAAAATTTTTTTTTTGGCTTTAAAAATATTTTCAAAAAAATTCAAACTCACTACTCTCGCTAAATTTATTAAAGTCATGTCCCTTTAACCTTAAATCCTGGATACGCTCCTGCTTTAAAGTTCTTTCACATTTTTATACTGAGGTTAAATTATAATTCATGGAGAACTAATTTTCATGGATTTAATTGGTATATATTGCTGAACCTTGAATTATAATGCATTCAATACTAAGGTTGAATTATAATACACCAAGAAATAATTTTCATGGATTTAATTGTTATAGTATTATAATAGTAAATACCATAAAATCAAGTACCCATAAAGTCTAATTCCACAAAAACTAAGGTCAAACAAAAATAAATGAATCAACAGTCACATTGATTATGTTTCGCTCTTGTTATGGTAAAGTTTAAAGTCAATTCAGAAAATCACTACCATACTGTAAATAAAAGTTATTACCTTTATGACTTCCTTTTCTAATATGCTTCAATAATCTGACATAGAGTAAGGCTGGAATGTTAGGCCAAACATCATCCACAGTTAGAGTTGTCTCCCCTTGTGCTGATATTATCTTTGCCTGATCTATAAAGTCTTCTATCAGCTGTTAAAACAAATTCAAGATATTAAGCATATCAAACATTTGATTATGGTTTAATACTAAGTCAGAATAAAATGGCTTACAAAAAGATACCGAAAACCTAGCTTTCTGATAGAAAAACAAAGGATATGGGGTATCCATCCACGACACAAAATCAGTACATGCACAGCAAAAAAAAAAAAAAAAAAAAAAAAACACACAATAAGCAAAGGAACAGCACTTTTATGGTTTGTTTGTTTGTTGGTGTTTAAATGTGCCTTTCGGCAACCTTGGCTATATCACGGCAACCATTTTTTAATGGTGGAACAATTAAGGCAGAGTATCCTGAGAGAACCACTGACATTGGCAGGAAAACTGGCAATCCTTTTCAATTAAGATCAAAGTCAAATACACCTCGCCACAAGCAGAGTTTGAACTAATAACCTCAGAGTTGACAGGCTAATGATCACTGTAAATGAACTACCTAGACCAATCAGCCACGAGGACCCATAACTTTTTTCTGTGCATAAATTCATCAGCTTTATTCCAAAATTAAAAGGCTGCCTCAAAAACTTTTCATCCAAAAGACATTTGTGTAAAATATTAAATATTAATTCTATACTTACTGTTTGAGGAAGATGGGACATTTTAAACAGATCAGCAGGGAACATGGATAATGCCTGGAAGGCAGCCTGGGATACATTATCGTACAGACTTGTAGACAGCAACCACAGGTTTCTTACTGTGTCAAATACAAATTTCTGAAAGTAAAGACAATTTTACTTTTGAATGTTTATAAAAACAACTTTTGCTATAAATATATAAAATGAAGCAAAGATGTAATTATCAATTAATTATTTAATTTCAAACAAGTCTTACATTTATGGAAACATTACCGAAGATTCAGAAAATTCTTGTGCAAATAGAATGACTTTATATAGAAAGAACAAATCTTTTTGCAGATCATTGGAAAAGAAGGATTAAAGTTTGTCTGCATATCATCTAAAAATCATTAGAGAAACAGATTCTACCACCAAATCTCAAGCAATACTATATTTCTGGAGGAGTAAAATACCACCATTGATTTTCCCCTATTAGTCTTTGTTAAATTGTTTATTTTCAAAAAATTGTGCAGAATTTATCTTTGTTTCAAATAAAGAAATACTTGATATGAGTAAAGTTTTATCCTATCTAGTACTACAGACAAAATTTCACATAACATTTCATTGCATATAAGATAACCATCACTGGAAGTTAACCAATCAAATTTTCACCACTTTTTTTCCTGTTCATAAGCTTTAGTAACCATGTAACCTCAAGTTTCCAGAATATTTTATAGAAACACCAAATAAAAAAAGTGCTTGAAACACCCAAGATATATGACTCAGAAATTTTTTTCTGCAATGAAATGCAGGGTTAACTTCCTACAGCTGTCAAATTCAACAGAATATTTTTTGTGACCCTTTTTTGTATGAAACCGGATGTGACATATTATGATTTGGTGGTATTACACCTAAAGTGGAGAAATATCATATCACACTCAATGCAGTGGTAGAATCTATATGTATCAGCTAAATGAAAAAATTCCTGGTGAGTTAACTGCAAGTTCTGACATAAGCGATACAGCTGACATATTGGTATATCAACTATAACAAAAGACATACCTGATATTCTGGTGTGTCAACTGCATGGTCTGGAACCAATGAAAACAGATCACATATTTTCTCCACCACAACTGGTCTGGAATTTAAAAAAAAATATAATAATTCAAATTTATGTATGCCATATCATGCACCTCAATCTTTTTACAGAAAACAAAATTGAGTAACAGTATGCTGAAAAAAAAGCTTATCGAAGATACCATGGTTATAATTTTGTACAAAAAGGACATCTACAAAATAAAATGCTCCGCAGGAGGCAGCTTGATACGACCACAGAGGTCGATCATTGAACAGTTGGGGCAAGTATAGACACAACATTCCAGCTTTATACAGTTCTGAATTTGGATTGTGATTAAATATTTGACACAGCATAGATTTCTGACACAAAATGAATGTGGCCTAAGAACTTAAAAATTTAAAACTGGACATTTACCTATTATGGTCCAATGTCCAAAATCTAAAATCTATATACATGGTTAGATTCAGCATATCAAAGAACCCCATGAATTCAATTTCTGATGAAATCAAACAAAGTTTAATGTGTGACCCTTTGGACCTCAATGTGGTCCAATTTGATAACAGGTCCAAAATCCAAAATACACAGTTAGATTCAGCATATCAAAGAACTCCATATATTCAATTTTTGTTGAAATCAAATAAACTTTAATTTTGGACCCCAATTTAGACCAACTTGAAAACTAGGCCCAAAATTAAAAATCTAAATACATAGTTAGATTCAGCATATCAAAGAACCCCAAGAATTCAATTTTTGTTAAAACAAACTAAGTTGTCTCACTGGCAATCATACCACATCTTCTTATTTTTAAAAGTTTAATGTTGGACCCTTTGGACCTTAATGTGGACCAATTTGAAAACCAGGCCCAAAATCAAAATTCTGAATATGCAGTTAGATTCAGCATATCAAAGAACCCCATATATTCAATTTTTGATGAAATCCAACAAAGTTTAAATTTGCACACTTTGGACCTCAAAGCAGACCAATTTAAAATGGGGCTCAAAAATCCAAAATCTATATACACGGTTAGATTCAGCATATTAAGGAACCCCAAGAATTCAAGACTTTGAGTTCAACCCCTTTCAAATTGGTCAAAAAATAAACAACTTATACAAAGTCTGAGAAAAGTATTGTTTTTGGCCCCTTATTCCTAAACAGTTAGGGCTTTAACCCCCAAAATCAATCACAACCTTCCAACCTTGAGATCCATAGACTTATACTCGTTATTGTCTGGAAACCTGAAAATCCTTGTTTTTGGCCCCTTTTTGACCACTAATTCCTAAATGGTTTGGGTCATAACCCCCAAAATCAATCCAAACCTTCTTTTTGTGATATGGAACATAGTGTTTCAATTTCATAGAGATCCATGCACTTATACACAAGTTATTGTCCTGAAACAAGAAAAATGCTGGTAGTTGGCCCCTTTTTGGCCCCTAATTCCCAAAATATAAGGTTATAACCCTCAAGATCAATCCATACCTTCATTTTGTGGTATGGAACCTTGTGGTACAATTTCAAAGAGTTCCATACACTTATACTCAAGTTATTGTCTGGAAACCAAATGTCATAGAACAAAAAAGATGACGACATCGCCATACCATTATATGGCTGCAAATTTTTATGATCTTATAACGACAGTAAACCAAGTCTTTGTTTAATTCATTAGTGGCATTGTTAAAGCAATCAAGGGCCCTTACTCCTGAACAGCATAATTGAAAATAGTCAAATTCAAACTTGACCTCCATTTTGTCATGAGAAGCAACATACTAAAATATAAAAAGGATTGGTTGCACTGTACTTCAGCTATTGTATGGAATGGCATGGATCTGAAGGCCTGTCATCCTACTATAATTACTACTCCCAATTAATAACCAAAATTTTCTGTTGAATAGCTTACTAACTTTTTCATTACATACATGCCAATTTTGATTTAAAAAACGGAAAATAGAAAAAAATGCGGATCAGTTAAAATATAACCAACAACAACCATTTCTCAAAGTATTAGATTATCAGCATATAGATATATTTTTAGGTTTATTAATAATTTCTCTATATATCATTTCAAAGAGATTTTAAATCAGTCAGCTAATATATTGTGAATTTTTCCATTCCACTGAACTTATTGTGATTTAAGGCTGTATAATCTATGAAAAGGAATTTTATAAACAAAAATAGCAGGTTTTAATGTAGTACATTAACTGACATCATTTATCTCTGCCAATTCAAGAATTTATATCGTACTTCCTCCTTTTTGAACTTACAAATTGGAAAAAGTAAACTGTATCATGTGTTTTTGAAGCCACTATAATTGCAGAAATTGACTGCAGTCTTATTATAAAACATTCTTCATAATTGGAATGTGTTTTTTTTTCTTTTTCTTATATTAGTGAAAACAGTTCATCATTTCATTACAGCAGCACTATAAAGATCATGCCATCACAAGATACTAATACACAAGATCTTTTAAAACTTTATAAGGATTTTAGCTCCTATTCAAAAGTTTATAAGATTTCTAAACTTAAATGTAGCTGCAGATTGAATATGTGCCTTTTAACCTAAAAAATAGACTTGCCAAGGTTATGCAACATAGTAAATCTACAGTACATAAATGCCTACATAGACTTAAAAAAGTTTCTACATCCTGAACATGATTGACGAACATTATTTTCTGAGATAAAACAGTAATGTTATTATATAAGACAGCAATGTTCAGTAATTCTCATCTAATTGACAAATTGGACAGATAAATTGAAAAACCATATAAAAAGTAATAATACAAATAATAAAGCAATAAATAAAAACCATAAAGAACTTAATGGCTTCCATTAAATGTATGAAATTCTAATAGCTTCTAAGATTCATTACACTTCCAGGATAAAAAAAAAATTGTTGCCATTCCAGTGTATGAAATTCCAATAGTTTCTAGATTGATTATACTTCCTTGTTCAAGATCTAAAACAAAAAATGCTTCCACATTCAGTCACCTACCAAGTAGAATGATAGTATAGACTGATTGGTTCATTACTAACATAGCAAATGAAAAGTCATCATATCCAAATAAGGTGAAGAAAAAGAGAGGCGGTTAATGCCAAAGGGACGTTCAAACTCATACAAACTGACAAAGCCATGGCAAAAATAGAAAAGGACCAATAGACAAACAACAGTATACAAAACACGAACCCCACCAAAAACAGGGGTTGAACTTAGGTGCCCTGGAAGATTAAGCAGATCCTGCTCCACATGGGGCACCCATCATGTTGCTCATGTAAGTACAAATCCAGTGATAAATCTAATTCGATAAGTCACAAGAAAGTGTAGAAAAAGAGAGTTAGAAAGTATATAACTATGAGTAAATAGGTATAAATAAAAATGATACATATATGTATAGGTTAAATCTTTCGTATATTTTGCAATGACTTAGTTCTATTTAACATAAAATAAGACATCTTATTTATTTATTCAATCCAATTTAAATTATTGTCAATATATAAACCAAGAAGTTTTCCACAATTTAGTGTTTAATATATTTCACCTGAAATATAGACACTATTTCAACCCCAGTAGAACAAATCCTCTATCTAGATCCAATAATCATTGATTTACATTTTATGGGGTTTAACTTCATCTAATTTTCAGCATGCCAGTTTTCTATGATGTTTATATCTTTTTGAAGGTTTGTATTTAAGATATGTACATCTTTACATTTACTATGAAAAGGAAAGTCATATGCATACAAATCTATGTTTGATTTTTTTAGGTAAAGTGGATGGAACCTAGTGGTACACTAGTTTTTACGGTATTTCATATCAGACATAGCATTATTAATCTTAACTTGCTGTATTCATTCATTTAAGCAAGTATGACTGAAATTAATCTAATGTAACATTTAAAAAATTAGAATATTTAAGTTTTCTTAACAAAATAAAACGATTTACCAAGTCAAATGCTTTCTTTATATCTAAAAATACAACTCCTTTTGATCTCTCTATTATCAATGTTTGTTAACCATTCATCTACAATATTAGTAAGTGATGTGATGCTCAAATGTTGAGCCTTGAAACTGACTGTGAATCATTGAGAAGGTTATTTTATTGGAATATGCATAAAATTTATCAGCAATATGTCTTTTAATGATTTTGGAAAGACAAGGGAAATTTGCAATATGTCTATAACTGTAACCTGGATAACATTAGATCACTTTTTATGCCCCTGCCGTAGTGGTGGGGGCATTAAGTTTTACCTTTGTCCGTCTGTACATACGTACCTATGTACGTCCGTCCGTATGTCCCAAAATTGGTTTCCGTTCTCTAACTTGAGTTTGCCTCAACAAAATGTTATGAAACTTATACACAATGCTTATTACCACAAAACACAGATCAAGTTTGAATTTTGGTGGCGTCACTTTAACAGTTCTAGAGTTATGCCCCTTTATAAATGGAAAAATTGCAAAATTATAACTTTCTTCTAAATATCAAGTAATTTTTTACATTGGAGTTATCTTCCTTTGTCCATGATTATAGTTGAATCAACTACAATCAATGCTTTATACAATGCAATGTTTAATTTTGACTTCCACTGATAAAACACAGATCAAGCTGAATTTGGGTAGTGTCACTTTAACCATTATTGAGTTATGCCCCTTTATAAATTGAAAGATTGCAAAATTTTTAGTTTCCGTTCTGTAACTTAAGTTTGCCCCAACCAAACATTATGAAACCTAAACACAATATTCATTACCACAAAACTAAGATCAAGTACAAATTTTTTGTTTCCGTTTTCTTACTTTAGTTTGCCTCAACCAAATGTTATGAAACTTATACACAATGCTTATTACTACATGTTATGAGACTTACACACAATGCTTATTACCACAAAACTCAGATCAAGTTCAAATTTGGGTAGCGTCACTTTTACCGTTCTTCAGTTATGTCCCTTTATAACTATATGATATGCAAGCGGGGGCATTATCTGTGTCCACATGTGGACACTATCCACATTTATTTAAATTATAGGACAAATTCTTGCAGTCTTTAAATAATACTCTGATATTTTCCACATTTTTT